AGAGTGAAAAAAGCAGAGACGGGTTATGAAAAAAATATGTGCAGAATGAAAATATTTCAGAATGAATGGAATTCAAGGGGAAAATGAATAAATGGGTAGGAATGAAATGAGGGAGTGCAAAAAAATGTTATTGGCCCCTTTGGAAACCATTGAATGAATAAAAATGGTGAATACTTAATGACTATGATGTAAAGCGAGAATATTAATGATAGAGAGGTGGTGAGCAGTTCTGGAAGTGTGACTGGCCATTATTTTTAAGGTCAAGGGAGGATCTTATGGAAAATAGACATAGAAGCAAAAGAACAAGAATTAAAGAAGAGTAACTCCAGGAAGAAAATATTTGAGTCCAGAATGATAACACATTAGAAGACAGATTATTTTCCCAAAGAAGGAGTGGCAAGTGGCCATGAGAAAGACGATGTGGAGCTGCCTGGAATGAAGAGAAAAGAATTAAGGGACTGAGTGTTACAGAAAGTTGTGGGCCTACACTTGTGGGAATTATGAAAGAAGGACACCTGATGGAATGATAAAATGGACAAAAAAGAGGCATAAAAAAAGAGGCTGTTGCAAAAAATGGGCATGGGAAATGGACATAATGTGTATGTAGAGAAATAGATAATTGCAAAAATGTAATCAAATGTTTTTCCCATGTCTAGTTCTTGGGGACTGACTGGATAAATCCCTGCAGTTTCCTTGGCAAGGTTTTTCAGAAGTGGTTTGCCCTTGCCTCCTTCCTTGGGCTGAGAAAAAGTGACTGGCCCAAGGTCACCCAGCTGGCTTTGTGCCTAAGGCAGGACTAGAATTCACAATCTCCTGATTCCTAGCCTGGTGCCTTAACCACTATACCAAACTGGCTCTCAAATTTAATGAGGAACAGTTCCGGTTAAAAGAGGCAGAGAGCCTGCCGAACAATTTTGATGATTAAAAAAAAAACAAAAAACTTTTGAAAATGGGCGAAGAGACTGAACAAGGAATTTAAGAAAAGGAAATCATAAACGTTGTAAGAATGTTAAAACAATGTAAGGCTGCAGTTATATAGATGGTGAAATTAGAGAAATACGAAAATACGGACTGCGTGACTTGTTAAATATTTGAATGAACCCAGAATCCATTCCTGATCATTGGAAGAGTGAATTTATTATTCCCCTATCGGAGAGTGAATGCAAAAACTACTGAATTAGTTTTCCAAGTGTGCCTGTGAAGGTATTTGGCAGAATTCACATATAAAAGTTACAAGAGATGACAATGAGCAACGTTTGGGAATTTCGGTGCAGCTTTATGTCTTGCAGAAGGTGTTCAGATCAGACTTTTGCTCTTCAGAAAGTCACTGAATATGTATGGATATGAGAATGTTTACTGCATTGCTGATTTATAAAAAGTATATGATAAAGCAAATGGGCTTGAATCGTAAAATGTTGGGAACTGAAGCTTAGTTGCCAAGTGCAATAACAGTGTTATATGATGGAGGTAAAACAGGCGTAAATGGGATGTTCACTGAATGATTCAACAGTGAACAGGAAAAGGCAAGAATGTCTGATGTCCCCAAGGTGGTTCATGTGTTTATGGACAAAACAAAAGAAAAAAAGAAATATTTGTGGTATTGTTAGAGGTATGTTGGTTGGGACATAAATATCCAGGTGATGCTGAGTTGCTGGCTAAGATTGTTACAGAGATTGCAAGTCATACATAAAGGGCAACTACTAATTAGGTAAATGAGTTCATGTACCTTGATGGAATATTTACGAAAGATGAAAAAATGTGTAAAGAATTTTTAAAACATAAAGATAAATCAAATACTGTGGTCACTGGAGTGTAAATAGTGTGTGTGTGTGTAAAATGAGAGGTAGGATCAAGAATGAAGATGTGTGTATGTGTGCGTGCGTGCGTGTGAACAAATGTGGATTAACTACAATGAAATAAAAGTTGAGGTAGTTAGAGAGCCAGTTTAGTGTAGTGGTTAAGGCATCAGGCTAGAAAGCAGGAGGCCATGAGTTCAAATCCCGTCTTAGCCATGACAATCAGCCTTGGGTCAGTCATTCCCTCTCAGCCCAACTTACTTCACAGTGTTGTTGTTGTTGTGGGGAAAATAGGAGGAGAAAGGTGTGTTTTCCACCGTGAGCTATTTATTGTAAAAACAATAAATGTAGCGTACAAATACAATAATAACTAGTTAGATAATATAGCGAGATGGATGAGGACTGAATTGCAAAACAAGTATACGAAGGAAGAATGTGGCAAAAGGATGTAGAAAAATTATGGTTGAATGGAGTTGATGAGATCTTGAAAAAGACAGAGGAGAGGAATTCAAATAACATAAAGCAATAATGTAAGAGGAGATCTGTAGGAGAGTTTGCAAGGATAGAAAAGTACGAAAAGATTTAATGTATGGTCTTGGAGTAATTTTTTTTTAAATCTCTTGCCTTTAATTTATTTAGTTTGCTATTTTTTGCTCCTTTTTTTGCTCTCTGCATAACATTGCTGCTTACCCAAAAAGGAATAATGTGATGGATATGTGTATATTTATCTTTCACTTTGCCTATACTTTAACTCTTCGTAGAGTGAGCACACCTGCAGTGGAATGTACAGCTGGAGAAGCATTAGCAATAACACTACGTCTTCTCAAGCAGGAGGCAACACATTCCTGAGAGAAGCCCCAAACAGGAGACTGTGCATCCTGAAATGGATGTGGGAGAGAGGAAAAGGTTCACAATAGCCACACCATAGAATCTCCCAGGATATACCGTGTTTCCCTGAAAATAAGACTGGGTCTTATATTAATTTTTGCTCCAAAAGACGCATTAGCTTATTTTCTGGTTAGGTCTTATTTTTGTGGAAATACGGTACTAAATGCACCCATCTGGCTGACAATCTTAACTGGGGCTTATTTTGGGGGTGGGGGTTATATTACGAGCATCCTGAAAAATTATGCTAGGACTTATTTTCCGGTTGGGTCTTATTTTTTGGGAAACAGGGTATATCTCTTAGGTTAGAAGGTTACAGCATTAGGAGAGCAAGCTGTCTATTTATCATCATCACATCCTATGCTAAGCACATTGGACTACAGATTTACTCCACAATTTTCACTCCGCAGCTACAGCCTCCACATCCTTCCATTTAAGGTTGATGTTTTTTGGATCTTCCTGAAATGTTTGACACCAGGTTTTCCTTGGCCTTCCTCTTTTTCTCTGACCATCTGGTGGTATCCAATTGATTACAAGCTATTAGGTGCAATCAAAGAAAGAGCTGGACTCAATTGGATCTTACTATGTCACCTTTGGGTTTGAGCTTGACAATACCTCTCCAGAAAAAAAATTGGATAAAAATAAGATGATAGAATTAGGGAGTGGTGAATATCCTTACCCCTTTGCAGTCTATTCAATGGATATTTTCTGACTGGTTATATTCACAGTAGTATCTCCTTTTTCCACAGCATTATGAGAGTTCTCTGCTTGTGTTCTCAGAATTCCAAGTATGCTCACCATCCTTAAAGGATTGTTTACTTAGGTATGGAGCATGTATTACAAGAGAAAACAAAACATGGGAGATAGAAACAAAGTGTTGACAGCTAATGAATTAAGGCAGTAAAAATGAGAAAAGACACCTGGGTATCCCAGAGGAGGAGACAAAATGCATGGCTGCAAATGCAAAGCTGCTTTCATCATTCACATGTCAAAGCATTGCTTTCTAATGGCTTCATGCCTGTTTTCTCCTGGAGCAGTGGGCTGGATTAGAAGGCCCCCAAAGTCCCTTCCAGCTCTATTCTGATTCTGATGCACATCAACTGATGGTACAACCATCCACTTGGGCATCCTCTTCTCTAGGCTGCATCTGAAATGTGAGACAAAAGAATGTGTAGTTCAGTAACCAATTATTAAAATGTTTGTTTATGAATATTAATATTCAAAGATCTTTTATGGTTAAGTCCCAAGGCTATATATTTATAGCCAGAGGTAATATGAGCTACTTGAAACTGGTAAAAAGAGAGGTGTAAGATTTGGAGTCCTGTTCTCCACTTTCCTTTTTGCTAAAGTTGTCCTTAGATTTTCAATAGGCAACATATATACAGAATTTATAGATAATTGTATGTTTTTATATAAAATTCACAGACTTGGCACTTCTTTTTTAATATATTTTATTGAACATATTAAAAGTTGAATAAATAGGAAAAAAAGGTAGAGAAGAGGAATTGAAAGTAGGCTACATATATATAAACTTTACAAGCATCATAGAAATTATTTCATGATGTATTATATCACTTTAAAAAAAATAAAAATAAGTATAGCTCCAAGACTATAAATGCCAGAAACAGTAGCCATCACAGTAGAAATCATAAAAGATTAGAAAATCCTATAAAGCTGAAATATGAAGCATTTTTGTAAAAGGAAACCAAAATTTTGGCTGTGATACAAATCTACATATAAAATTGTAATCTAGAAATCATTCCCAAAGTTAAATTCTTTGTCAGATCTACTTTTAAGTAAAAAGTTATTTTAGACACTGAAGCATATTTCTATAACCAAAGTTGAGTGCTTCTTTTAATGGACATTACAATAACTTCCTTCTTTAATTCAGGTAAGATGTTATCTATATTTTCTTCTGCTTTACTTCTGTTTAAGGATTACTTCTTCCAGGCACCAAAACATGGCTTTTGTACAACATTAGATGCTGTATTCCTGCAAAGTTTCTCACAAATCATGAGGATTTCTGTTACAGGAAACAGCAGTACAAGAAGATCTAAATGTGTGACTATGTGCTTTTTTTTTTTTTTTAAAGATGTGTCATATGTGACTTTTTTCAGTTCTGTTGTAACTTCAAACATTCACTAAACAAATGGTTTTAAGTTGAAGGTTACCTGTAGTTCCATGTTCCAAATTCTTTTTGATATTCCATGAGTTACTTAACTAATGTGAAAACTTGGCTTGCAGATCCCACAATCTCTTGATTCCTGCTAGTTGTCTAATCCATGACCCTTTCATTTTCTCTCTTTTTCTGCCTCTTAGGGACTAGCTGTACATTACCCCAAGATACGTGCCATCATGGCTTGCCTGCACGAGACCCGCACACCTTCCCCCTCTTTTGGCAGTTTCAACACTATCTTGACGGAGAGTTCCCTACGGAAGTTGGATCCAGATGCCTCGGACTGCACCCCTGAGAAGGACTTGACGCCGACACAATGTGTGTTGCGAGATGTCTTGCCCATAGATGGGAGTGGAGGTGGAGGTGGTGGACACAGTCCCACTCCCAGCGAGGAGACCCACGAACAGTTTGCCAACAGCGTGCTGCAGCTCCACGAGAATGAAGCTGGTAGTGGGGGAGGGGGCGGAGCTGGCGCAGGAGCTGGAGTTGGGAATCCTGAAGTCCGGCCCACCCGCTACCATGCTGACCAAGTACGGATCCACTGCCAGACAGGGAGTGGCTTTCTGGAAGGGCTTTTTGGTTGCCTCAAACCAGTCTGGACCATGATTGGCAAAGCATATTCCACCGAACACAAACAGCAGCAGGAAGGTGAGAAACATAGTGACCACCTGGTGACCACCTGGTGACCACCTGGTGACCACCAGGAGCAAGAGTGGGCATTATCAGTTGAAAGAATCCTATAATAATGACTTCTGATTATAATCTATGAAGCAAATCCTATTGCTGAGAGTTGGGCTCCATGGTTTCCATACAGAAAGGTCTAAGTTGGTTCACAGAATCTCCAGATAGAGCTGAGAAAGACCCTTCTTTAAATCATGGAAAACTCTTTCCAGACATGCATATCAGTAGGGAATTTGGGGCCCCTATAGCCTTCAGATTTCAGTTCTCACCAGACCAGTATACATTAGCAAACAGCAAGGATTTTCGTGAGTTTGGTTCAAAACATCTGGAGGATATAGCACAGGGGTGAAATCCAGCAGGTTCTGACAGTTCTGGAGAACCGTTAGTGGAAATTTTGAGCAGTTTGGAGAACCGGTAGCGAAAATTTTGAGTACTTCAGAGAACTGGCAAATACCACCTCTGGCTGGCCCCAGAGTGGGGTGGGAATGGGAATTTTGCAGTATCCTTCCCCTGCCACGCCCACCAAGCCACACCATGCCCACCAAGCCACGCCCATGGAACCGGTAGTAAAAAAATTTGGATTTCACCACTGATACAGCAGCCTGATGTGAACAATATTGATTTAGGTGTTTGATTCAGTATAAGGAATTTTCTATATCCCTATTTTCAAGACATGTTCCCAAATGCAATTGGCAATTCAATCAGTCTTGGGGGGCAATGGGGAACTTTGGATTCAGTTTGGATCAAGGCTTTCTCCCAGAGTCAGTGATTTCTTGCATGATTCTTTTCATCCATTGCTGCCTTCAAGAACACGGTGACTCTTGATTTTCTGATTCTATCTGTGTCAGGAATTCGTTATAAATTTAGTTTACAGGCTAACCAGACTTATGAGGAATGAAGCTCTAGTGACTATTCATATAATTATTAGGGGATTAGGCCAAAATAATGCCATATAAGAAGCTGTCTTTATATATTGAGTGGAAATGAATTTGATCCAAAGTGCCATAATTAGAATTTGAATGAGTACTAGCCAAATGGACATAATTGTAACTATTTTAATAGAGATATGCTTGTTGCTATGCTAGTTGCCAGTTTGTTTCTATGAGCAATCTAGAGTATTGCCTTTGAACCCTGAAAACATTGGTAAAATCAACTTTGTCAATACCAAATGTTCCAGTTAACTAATGCACTGATAGAGACTCAAAGAGAAGGAGATTAGAAAATTGTCCATGTGCAATTGTGAAGATCAAAAATACCTAACACTTTAATCTTACAAAAAAAAAATCCTATAGAGATTTTTTTTTTTTACAAATTTTCCAGTCACTGGGTAGTTCGAATCCCCAGTTTTTATTTCCAGACCAAAGTGGCATGGCCATTTTGCCTCTATTTTTCCAGTCAATTTGTTGATAGTTAAGCTTTTTGTGTACAATTGAGCTGATTAGATTAGATTATTACTTGCTTAGTACTGAAGTTTCTCAAAATCAGAGAAAGCCTGACGTTGCAGCTTCTAAGGAGAAAAGCAGATGAAGGGGTCATGACTCTAAAGTAAAAAGCTGCAGATACCGAAATTATTTTCTCTTTTGAGTCAAAAAGAATATGATCATTTACAGTATTTATTTTGCATGCCACCTCAGTCATTCTTGGCTTATTGAATGCCATGTCTTTGTAGTGTTTACATTTGTTTCTGCAATGATATGCACTACTTCGGTTATTCCTGAATGACATTATGCAGGATTTTTTGCCCTGTGGATAAAAACCTGTCTTCCTCTGAACAACCCACAGCTACCACTTTCTTTTCTTCTCCATGCAGACCCGTGGGAGGTACCCTTTGAAGAGATCATGGACTTGCAATGGGTAGGCAGTGGGGCACAAGGTGCTGTCTTCCTGGGACGCTTCCATGGGGAGGAAGTTGCAGTCAAGAAGGTGCGAGACCTCAAGGAGACGGATATCAAACATTTGAGGAAACTCAAGCATCCCAACATCATCACCTTCAAGTGAGTGGGGCAGCATTGCCAAGAGGGAGTTGACCCTGCCTTTCTTAAGAATGAAGTCTTTCTGAGCATAGTTCAGAACATGAGCCGCGGTGGCGCAGTGGTTAGAGTGCAGTACTGCAGGCTATGTCTGCTGACTGCTGGCTGCCAGCAGTTTGGCAGATCGAATCTCACGAGGCTCAAGGTTGACTCAGCCTTCCATCCTTCCGAGGTTGGTAAAATGAGGACCCAGATTGTTGGGGTGGCGATATGCTGACTCTGTAAACTGCTTAGATAGGGCTGTAAAGCACTATGAAGCGGTATATAAGTCTAAGTGCTATTGCTATAGTTGGACAGGGCAAATGTCTTTGCCAAGCACCATAGCTTAGTCCCTCTCCCTCACCCATAAACACATATAGCACAAACAATCATACAACACATACAGCAATCAGCTGCGTTTCTAGCCATAGACTGTATGGAGAGAAAAAAAAAAACCAATTTGTGCATGTCCCACTTATTTTAGTGTAGTTATGGCAAATCTTTTGGCTCAGCATGTCAAAAATTCAGAAAATACTTAAATTGGCTCTGGTGGTATGTCAATACCACCACCTCCCAAATTAAAGAGAAACAATTCTCTGTCTCCCCTTCTAAGCCACCTTGAACAGTGGCACCTGGCAACAGCGTTGAGGCTAGGCCTGAAGCAGAAAACCGGGCCTCAATTTCGCCCTAGTACCATCACTGCCATTCAAAAAGGCTGCCTTGCAACATTTCCCAAAATACACAAATGTTGGGGAATGGTGTGATTGTCCCCACAGCCCAGCAGTCTCCAAGATCTGCCGTGTACCACCTATCTTTAGACTTACGTTCTCTTTCTGATGACAGGCCTCTGAAGCCTACAGGAGGCTGCTCCGGTTGCACAAGGACTTTGTTCTTGAAATAGCTTCAGAGAATGCCCTTCTGCGGCCTCTTCAGCCTCCAAAAACTGCCCAAAAACATGCCCTATTCAGAGGGTCAGGAGGCCATGCAAGAACATGGCTCTCTTGCACAAATTCCAGAGGGTCTGGAGGCCACGTGTCAACACCCTTCATTCTTATGCAGCCTTTGCAGACTCCGAAAATTGCACAGGGATGGGGCATGTTTTTGAGAATACTTGTCAGGTGTTGGTGAACGCTGACATCCAAAATGTCGTGGCATGTTATCTTTGACACACATGTCATAGGCTCACCTTCACTGTCATACTTCCTTTTCTGGAACATAACTTCCCAGTATCGGCCCTGGTTTTTCTTTAAATCAGGACAATTTGTGAGACAAAATCTTGGACGCTGTAGTCAGCCTCTCCTTAGTTTGTAGTTTTTCACATGGCAGGAGAAGATTATTGGATACTGAAAAAGTAATTATATTAGCTATAATGAACAAATGTAAATTGAATTGTAATGCTCATTGCATCACAATTAGGTTTCATTTTGGCTCTGCCACATTTCTTGGAATTGAGTGTGACCTTAGCTGATTCTCGCTGGAAAGAAACAGGAAAGTAATACTGTATAAAACAAGTAATGCTATTTCAAATGTTGGAATTACAATCCCCATAATTCCAGTCTTGTTAGAACCAACCAAAGTGTTTCCAGATATATTAGGCTATAATTCTTATATTTCCTAACAGCTGGGTGTTTCTAAGGTTGTCTGTGTGCCTTTGAGTGAGTGTTGATTCTTGGCGACTTCCTAAGCAAGTATTTAGAATTTCTTTTGGATTTCAGAAGTGCCATTGCCTTCTTCCTGGGGCTGAGAGAGTGGCTGGCCCAAGGTCACCCACCCAGCTTTGTGCCTAAGGCAGAACTAGAATTCACATTCTCTCAATTTCTACATTCATTCCTCAACCACTATACCAAACCAATTCTCCTAAGAATTGTAGTCCCAAATATCTTTGTGGTCACTAAGTACGGAATAGATAAAGAGTATCTAGAAATGATATTTCATATTCCAGTAGTCTATTCATATATAGATGTCAACCCTAAGGTAGACAAAGAAACCAATTGATTTTAGATCAGGACTACTTATATTGTAATAACTATAATATCAGACTATTGCAAGTCTGCTTCCACCCTTCATGTGAACTAAGGATGGGGCTTGTGTAAGACATTTTCTCAAGTTTCTTAAGACAGATTCAAGCCCCTCTTATCTGACCATGACCTTGATAGGGACTCTTTGTCATGTCCTTCAAGGGCATTCCCTACACCCTCTACAATAGGTGAATGAATGTTTATATTTTCAATGGTTCGATCCATAATGAAAGTTGCAAAAGGACCCCTAACTCATTGTTGCTGCTGCAAAACAAAAAGATTCTGGACCACAGCATGCTCACTAATTTGGATAATTTCCCACAAGTACCTCATAGCATTAGGTATAACTTTTCGCTTGTCTCTAAACAACAGCAGCCCTTGTCACATATTAAACATTAGGCTTTCTTGTTGGGACACAAGGCAGAAGTGAATCCTGGCTCTTTTGTCTCCCCAGAAATCATAATTCCACAATAACTCTTCAAAGAGGATGCTAAGCTTGCAGTATTTGGTGTTATTTCTCTGTCCCTGTAAAGTATCCTGCTGGTCCTTTTTAGCCCATCCTTATTTTGTCCTTTGTCACTCCTTGCAGGGGTGTGTGCACCCAGGCTCCCTGTTACTGCATCATCATGGAATTCTGTGCCCAGGGCCAACTCTATGAGGTGCTACGTGCTGGACGCAAAGTCACTCCCTCGCTGTTGGTGGACTGGTCCATGGGCATCGCTGGTGGCATGAACTACCTGCACCTCCATAAGATCATCCACCGAGACCTCAAGTCACCCAAGTAAGAAGGGGAGCTAAATAGTTCCAGGAAACTAACATGGTGCCAGGCAGGCAGTGGCAAGGAACTCCGGGTTACTGAGGGCAAGTCGGTGTTTTCCTACTGAAACAAAACCTGCCATTTTTGAAAGCTTAAAATCTCTCTCAAAATGTGACAGTTAAGTGGGAGGTTTGGTAGTCTGCTCTACCTTCCTGTCACTGGTTTCATCCACAATTCTTTTTCATGCCTGTATACAACTAGGGCATTCACTGTTTCTGTGATGGATGCTTCTCTGGTATGTTGAGAGTGGAGGCGGGGTTTTCAGAGTTTCATAAATAAGCAAACGAAACAATGCTTATCTCCAAGGAGTTTACCCTGTACATAAATTAGACTTCAGGGAAGACAATAATGAAGGTGACAAAAGTATAGCAAAGAATAGATGTGAACAAAACCCTTCCATAATTAAATGTGGTTTCCAAGAAGAGCACTGCCCTCCCTCACTATCAGTCAAAAAAACAGGATGTGGGGCAGCAGCTGCAGTGCTGTCTGTTAAGGTGAAGGAGGGCATTGTTTTCTCAATCAGAGCTTAGACACCCCGCTACTTTTGCTGAAGAAATAAGAGCAGGGGCTGTAACCATGTCTTGTCCTTTTTAATCATTCTTGTTTTGTGATTTCCAGGTGTTTTGTAGTCTAGGGGCAGTAGGAGGAATTTGAGTAAACCTTGGTTTAGGAATAAGACACATTAGAATTGCATGGGATTATCCAGATGTTCCAACAAAGTTGTAAATAACTGAGGAAAATTACATTTTATGAGCCATTCAATAAAACATAGGTTAAAGAAGTAGATGATATGCTATATTCCTTTAAAATGCCACCACACAAATAAAGAACCTTTGTGGCAAAGTTGTCTGCTACCTTCTAGGAAGAGATGGCCCACAGTTTCTAAGATACGGCCCACAGGTACCATATAAATTTATTAAATTATTATTATTCCATGGAGGAGGAAAAAATCCTTCTTCACAAAGGGGTTTATTCATATATTATGTTTCCTAACTGATGGCAGAGAGCACTTTGTCTCACAGAAGGAACCATGACTTCTTTTCTTTTCTTTTCTCCTAGCATGCTGATCACATATGATGATGTGGTGAAGATCTCCGACTTTGGCACCTCCAAAGAGCTCAGTGACAAGAGCACCAAGATGTCTTTTGCTGGCACCGTGGCCTGGATGGCCCCTGAAGTGATTCGGAATGAGCCTGTTTCTGAGAAGGTTGACATCTGGTGAGGGGAGCTAACCCAAAAGAGAGGCAGTGGAGAGAATGGGGAAGGTCTGAGTGGGTGGCCAAAGTATAGGACAACCCAGTGTCCCCGCCCCCAGATGTGTTGGGCTCTGGCTTCTGTCATCTACACAACACATACCCAAACAAAGGTGTGTTGGACTACAACTCCCATCAAGGTTTAGTAATAGATGCCTATTCATGTACAGATTTACCATGCCCTCTAGATGTATTTGTCTATTACTCCTAGTCTCACCTGTATATACTCCCAGGTAGAGGTTCTGTTTGGAAAGAAGACATGGCTGGAAAAGAATGTAAAAGGGGAAGCCCATTGAGAATGGTTGTTCATGCTAGAGGCTTCCTCTACTCAACTGACTTTTCATTCCCACCTAGGTCCTTTGGGGTCGTTCTCTGGGAGTTGCTGACCGGAGAGATTCCTTACAAGGATGTGGACTCCTCAGCCATCATCTGGGGAGTGGGCAGTAATAGCCTCCACCTACCTGTGCCTACCAGTTGCCCAGATGGCTTCAAGATTCTGCTGAGGCAATGCTGGTGAGTTCCCAAGTTACATCACTTCTCAGCAACTTGGGATAAATTGTGGGAGGAAGAATTAGCCTCCAGAATTGGTCCAGGGCCAGGCCCTGCTCAGCTATAGCTTGAAAGAAATGAAAATTCTAAATCCACCCTGTCTTTTTGGAAAGGAAAAGGAAGGGAGAAAATACATACATACGACACTGTTTCCCTTCCTGTTCCTATTCTGGCCAAGGCAGGATTATAGCTGGTTTGAATGTATAATATAAACAAGTCATGGTAACATGAATGGCTGTTTATGCATAATTGTAGGGAGATTTGTGAAGTCTGTTAAGCAGCATGCCTGTGGGGAAAGAGGAAAGGAAAGAAGAAAGGAAAGGAAAGGAAAGGAGAGGAGAGGAGAGGAGAGGAGAGGAGAGGAGAGGAGAGGAGAGGAGAGGAGAGGAGAGGAGAGGAAAGGAAAGGAAAGGAAAGGAAAGGAAAGGAAAGGAAAGGAAAGGAAAGGAAAGGAAAGGAAAGGAAAGGAAAGGAAAGGAAAGGAAAGGAAAGACTACATTGTGCTCTGGGGGAGAGAAAAAATGTGGAGGGGAGTGCAATCCTGTTTCATTAAAAAAAAAAACCAGCCCTGAGTCTTCGGAGAGGGGCGGCATATAAATTGAATTAATTTAATTTAATTTAATTTAATTTAATTTAATTTAATTTAATTTAATTAAAACAGTTAAAACCCAACTAAATAAAATTCAAAACTCAGAAGATTTTTAAAGGAGGAAAGCACTTCTTATATAATCTATTAAGATTATATAAACTCAGAGAATTGAGACACAATATCCTCCAATCTGATTTATTTGTCTTGGTCCTGCAATGATCCAGATGATACTTTTTGTGTATGTATGGAATGGCCTCCTTAAATAGGCCTAAAGACAATAAACATTGATTGAAGTCTATCTTATTCACCATTACAACCACATGGAGTATTTACCATACAGGAACATTTCTATCAGCCTTTACATATTAATGCTGCTTTCCACATTTTGGGGCTCCCTAGGAATATGTTCCAGCATCTGATAGCCTTCCACAGTCCTGCCTCTGATTGATGGGGATTGCAGTCTAAAATTTACAGAGAGTGTTAGATTGCGAAGATTAGTATTCATGTTTTAATAGAATTTGAAGGCCCAATTAAATCTAATAGAATGCCTGACTTTTGCCACATCTTTTCTTCCTCATGATATATAATTGGGAAAAAAAAATTACAATCTGTTTTTCAGATACACTTCTCTGGCTTCTATTCATGGGGGACAGAGATATATCAACCCAATTATGTCATATGAAACCCAAAATGTCATATGTTTTTTTGTTATGAATTACATCTTTCCAGAATCCCTCTCTTTACATATGTTGAATTCACTTTTTTTATTAGGATCAAGGTTTCCTTTACTTTACACCTGAGCTAAAGAAACTGTGATCCTCCAGATTATAGCTCTTCACAAATTCCTTGGAGACAACAAGAAATATTATTTTTAAAAAGGACGTTTACTAGCAGATCTTACTGAATGAGTTTAAAATAATACGCAGAGATGGACAGCATTTTGGCAGATGGTGTAATATATTTCATTTAGTATATATATTTAATTTAGAGCCATCTTTTCTTCAGCAAGCTGCTCCAGTTTATCATACCCTAACAACCCTATAAAGTAAGTTGTGTTTAGAGAGAAAGGTACTCTCAAGGTGTCATTTGAGCAACACACCTCTTTCCAGAACTCACCTTGATTTATTTCTGAAGACCAGGTAGATTACACAGCAGAAAAAAATACTTTATAATAGAAGCTTACTCTGGAACCCAATGAGCTTCTATTCCTATTTCCTACATTACAGCTAGTCCTCACTTACCGATCATTCATTTGAAGTTATGTGGGTGTTGAATATGAAGACTTAACAACCATTCCTCAGAGTTGCAACCACTGCAGTTTCTCTGGTTACTCAATCACCATTTGTGATCCAGGGGCGGGTTCTACTTAACTTTACCACTGGTTTGCAACAGGATCGTGCTGCGCATGCACAGATCGTCGATGATGACATCTGGGTCAGTGGGCGGGGCTTCCCGCCAGTTTTACTAGCGGTTCTTGCGAACCGGTCCGAACCGGGGGCAACCCACCACTGTTGTGACCTTTCACAACCAACTTCCAACAAGTAAAGTCAATGTGGAATCCAGCATGAAGTCACAAGTCACAGTAGAGCCTTTATTGTCATATTGTCTTGCCTGTACTACAGGCAAGAGCCTGTAGTACAGTGGATAAAGCACTGTTATTAACATCTGCTGCTTGCAATTACTGCAAGTTCAAATCTCACCAGGCTCAAGGTTGACTCAGCCTTCCATCCTTTCAAAGGTAGGTGAAATGAGGAACCAGACTGTTGGGGCAATAAGATGACTTTGTATAAATATACAAAAGTATGAAGGCTATTGCTTAACGTATTGTAAGCTGCCCTGAGTCTCCGGAGAAGGGCGGCATATAAATTAAAAAAGCAAAAAAAGCAAAGCAAAGCATTGTACATCATGTATACAATGAAATTGTTATGTGATGTTGCACTTAAGGACTGTGGGGGATTTATTTAATGACCGCAGCAGGAAGTGACAACTGATGTCACAAAACAGCGCTGTCGTGTGATGTCTGGCTTAATGACTGTGCCACTTAGTGATGGAGTTGTCAGTCTCTATTGAGGTTGGTAAGTGAGGACTATCCATACATGGAGCAGTTAATGACCATACTAAGGAAAACTCACGATACAAAGTTTGATTGACAGCAGAAAGAACATTTATTTGAATAGAATAGAATAGAATAGAATAGAATAGAATAGAATAGAATAGAATAGAATAGAATAGAATAGAATAGAATAGAATAGAATAGAATAGAACTCTTTATTGGCCAAGTGTGATTGGACACACAAGGAATTTGTCTTTGGTGCATACACTCTCAGTGTACATAAAAGAAAAGATACGTTCATCAAGAATCAATCTAATGAAAGCTTGACAAACAGAATAAACAATACTCCAAGAAATAAAATATTATACTAATGCGCAGTATAGCGAGTTTTAATACCACATGCCAGTTTCTAAATTCTACAGTTTACATTTTAATTTAAGTCCACACCAATATATGCATTGTCATACCCAAAATGCAGCACAGCTATACAGAGAGGAGCAGCTGTCACATTCTTGGAATTTCTCCTTCTGTGGATGTATCTCCACTCAAGATTATTTGGTTATTTGTTTGTCTGTTTATCACATGCATATCCTACCACAATCATAACCAGACTCTTGATGGATCACAACATTCAACAAAACAATAAATAACAATAATTACAAAGTCCCCGGTTTACAACACTTCATTTAGTGATCGTTCGAAGTTACAACAACACTGAGAAAAGTGACTTATGGCCATTTTTCACACTTATGACCATTGCAGCATCCCCATGGTCACAATGATCAAAATTCAGATGCTTGGCAACTGACTCAGATTTATGACAGTTGCGGTGTCCCAGGGTTACCGATTCATTTCACAAGTGTGTTAGTAACTTAACAAGTACAGTGATTCATTTAAGAATTGTGGCAAGAAATGTCATAAAATCAGGCAATTTTGCTTTCACTTAGCAAAAGAAATTTGGGGCTCAGCTGCGGTCGTATGTCGAGGACTACCTGTAGATAAAATACAAAAGGTGTGCAGTCAAAAATATAAAAACTTGCATTCCAGACCACGTCTGACATCATTATAAGTATCCTCTGGAAGAACTCCATTTTCAGTTGCTTGTGGAAAGTGACTAGAGTTGGTGCCAACCATAATACCATGTTTCCCCAAAAATAAGACACTGTCTTATATTTTTTTGAACCCTGAAATAAGCGCTTGGCCTTATTTTCGGGGAAGTCTTATTATTTTGGGGCACGTGGAGCAAGATGGGGCTCCTCTTGCCGTCTTACCTGATTTCCAGCTCTGTCTCCCTAACCCTAACCAGAGGAAATGGCTTATTTTCAGGGAAACACAGTAGTAAAATCCCTTTCTTCTGAGTGTTTTGACCAAAGCAATTCTTTGTTAAACATCTGCCTTATTAGAAGAAGAAGAAAAAGCAGCTGGGCTTTGTGTTGAAACTTGGAAACTACACTTTGTCAGCAGAGTCTACAAGTATTTCTTTGCAACATACAAAGAATGTTGCTGGGGGTTTGCAGGGGTTTGGGAGAACCTCTAGCTAAGATTCTGCGCAGTTCGGAGAACCCCCAAATCCCACTCCTGGCTGGTCCATCCCACCCTCCCACCCCTCCCCTCCCAGGAGTCCCCACACGGCCCATTTTGAATGCAGGTAGGTGCAGGGCACACCTGAGGCTCAGGGAGGGCAAAAAACGGGCCTACCGGAAGTTCAGGAAGGCCTCCAGAACCTGGAGAGGCCGTTTTTGCCCTCCCGGCGGCTCGAGAAAAGCCTCCAGAGCCCGGGGAGGGTAAAAATGCCCCCCCCGGCTACAGCGCAGAAAGCTGACTAGGCCACACCCACCATGGCCACGCCCACCCAGTAACCAGGCATTGAACCCCTTGCTAAAATTTTGAAACCCACCCACCATGCATATCCACCATCAGTGTTCCTTTGAAGGAAGACTGGCCCTCAAGAATGAGTGATGCAATACATAACAGTTGCATTTTAAATATCCTCTTCTGACAAAGCTATCAAGGGTCTGCCTCACTAGGAAGAGAAACACCTGGGATATCAACCCTGGCGATCAATGGGGTGACAGATATCACAGCCAGATCGCCCTCACATCTCTACAGCAGCACTGGGGATTCGTCGGAAACACGTGTCAAATCCACCGTAGCTATTTTATACAACAAATGTGGCAAATCCATTGCACTGCTTATTCCTTCCCCTTTTAGTATTAAACTGACTACGGGCCACATAGTTTATGGATTGTAATTTTTAGTATACTTAAATTATGTGTAATTGACAGACTGAGAAACCTATATGCGGGTCAAGAAGCAACAGTGAGAACTGGACATGGAACCACTGATTGGTTCAGAATTTGAAAAGGAGTCTGGCAAGGCTGTATACTGTCACCCTGCCTATTTAACTTATATGCAGAGCACATCCTGAGAAAGGCAGGGCTAGATGAATCACAAATTGGAATTAAGATTGCTGGGAGAAATATCAACAACCTCAGATATACAGATGATACCACTCTAATGGCAGAAAGTGAAGAGGAACTAAAGAGCCTCTTGATGCGGATGAAGGAGGAGAGTGCAAAAGTTGGCTTGAAACTCAACAACTAAGATCATGGCATCCAGCCCTCTCAATTCCTGCAAATAGATGGGGAAGAAATGGATTTTATTTTCCTGGGCTCCAAGATCACTGCAGATGGGGACTGCAGCCAAAAAATTAAAAGACGCTTGCTCCTGGGGAGGAAAGCTATGGCAAATCTAGATAGTTTACTAAAAAGCAGAGACATCACCCTGCCAACAAAAGTGTGTATAGTCAAGGCTATGGTTTTCCCAGTTGCAATGTATGGCTGTGAAAGTTGGACCATAAGAAAGGCTGAGCGCCAAAGAATTGAGGCCTTTGAACTATGGTGCTGGAGAAGACTCCTGTGAGTCCCTTGGACTGCAAGGCGATCAAACCGGTCAGTCCTAGAGGAGATCAACCCTGACTGCTCTTTAGAAGGCCAGATCCTGAAGATGAAACTCAAATACTTGGGCCACCTAATGATAAGGAAGGACTCACTGGAGAAGAACAGAATGCTAGGAACGACTGAGGGCAAAAGAAGAAAGGGACGACAGAGAATGAGGTGGCTGGATAGAGCCACTGAAGCAGTTGGTGTGAGCTTAAATGGACTCCGGGGGATGGTAGAGGACAGGAAGGCCTGGAGGAATGTTGTCTATGGGGTCGCGATGGGTCAGACACAACTTCGCAACTAACAGCAACCAAATTGACTGACTGGATTTTATCATAGATTTTATCTGTTATTTATTATTTTATTCCAGAATTTTTAATTGTATATTTACAGAATGTTTTTATTTGTTCTGGTCTCTGGTCTACGACTGTCATAAACTGAATTGATTGATCGACCTGGAAATCAACTCCATAGCAAGCTTAAAACTACTTTTACTGAGACTGACTATAATAACAGAATCTTGCAAGTCTGATTGTGTTGTATCTCTTCCCCCTTCTTCTACTACATCAGGGAGGTGTTTGCCTGAGCCATTTCCAAATGTTATCTCATTCTCCTGGACTTAAAAAAAAAACACTTCATCCCCTTTTGCCTAGGAAGCAGTTCCCATGTATCTCTTCAGGGTCGTCTTTGTTACTCCCTACATCAAATGAGCTTTCATTGCTAAAAGGTGAACCCGAATGTGGGTCTCCCAGCTCTTGGCCCAACAACTTAACCACACCACCAAACAAGCTAGAAATCCACACTGTGTGCCTTCCCCTCAGTGTATTCTGCCTTCCTTCATCAGGAATAGCAAACCTCGGAATCGCCCATCTTTCCGTCAGATCCTGCTGCACCTTGACATCGCCTCTGCTGACGTGCTGTCCACACCGCAAGAAACCTACTTCAAATCCCAGGTGGGCTTCCTTGGCAAAATTAGTATTAAATTGTGTTAAAAAATGTATTAGACCTCTTTTCATGTTATGCTGTAAAGTAGTTTACAATGCAGTTATATGAACAATAACATAAAAACAAACTAAATTAATCTCTGAAATGATAAAACAACTTTTCACAATAAGTTAGTTAGGAAAATAGATGATCAACAAATACATCTTTTGCTGAGAGCCGAATAGCTCCACTTTTCATTATTCTCATTATGGAACGGATACCATGCAGTGGGGGGTACCATAATCTACAAGAGTAGCACCATTGTAAACAGTTTTCTGTTCTCTAGGCCTGGAGCCAGAAGAATTCAGGAAATGAGTTTATGGAGCTTGTCAGAGTTTGTTGCAGCACACACAATCAGACACAATTAAATGAACTTCAAATTCAAATTACATAAGAAACTTCATTATTCTTAATAGGCTGTACACCGCCCTGAGTCCTCCAGGAGAAGGGCGGTAAAAAAATAAAATAATAATAATAATAATAATAATAATTATTATTATTATTATTATTATTATTATTATTATTATTATTATTATTATTATTATTATTAATATACAATACCATACAGGAGAATTCAGCATACAATATCAGGAACACAGAAGCAATATCAATAGAAGCAAGTCTTTACAGAGTAGAGAGATACAGAACAAATATATTGTACAGAGGCTCCACATTACAGAGGCCAAGCCAACTCTTATATACAGTTCAGCAAGTCAAAGCCACGCCCAGACTCCAAACTGTCTCTTATGGCCCCATACAAACAAATACTGTTTCAGTTTCCAAACAGTCCCCATTGGTTAACCTGTTACTATGTCTATCCAAACAGTCCCCCTTGGCTGATCTATTCCAGTCTATGAATATTCATACTCTGACAGAGCTCTTATTTTCTTTCCCAGGCTGAATGGCGAGAAGAAGTGAAGCTCCATTTCGAAAAGATCAAATCGGAGGGGACATGTCTACACCGTTTGGAAGAGGAGTTGATCCACCGGAGGCGAGAAGAACTCAGGTAAGGCAGGTGTGAAACCATTAAAACGTAGAAGATTCGATACCTATATATGTATTTATAAATAAAAGGTCTCATCTGAGCTGAGTTACACTTCTGGAGGCTATATGGACATGTATGTCCCTGGTTTTTTTCCTTGTGATACTAAAAATGTGGTTTGTCACCCTTTAAAATGTGTTTTTCAACCTCCCACTCTAGACTTGACACTTCCATGCAGAGCCAGGAATGGCTGATTGCAGCCACCTGTCATGATAAGTTTATACATAATGACGTATATTCCTTGCATCTGCTGGCATGCTGAAAATACCAACATTTGGGGGAGGGGATCCCCCATCAGCGAAGCAATTTTGTATTCCTCAGAATTGAAGCCAAATTCCTCCCCTGTCTTTTATTTCACTACCATTCCTTTTATTAAAACTAATGATTGTTATCTGTAAATGGAACTGGGCATAATCTTGAGGGTAAATTAATTGAATTTGATATTTCAATTGAAACTTTATTTTTCATTTCCCACACCTGTACGCGAATTGGAATGCAACGGTTGACATTTACGCTTTATGGAATGTATTACAGAGTTTCAAGAAGAATAAATCCTAAGAAAAAATGTATACCATGAAGAAAATGCACACAAAAGTAGATATAGTGAAAAATGTATAAAACTGCATTTGTCAAATTTGCTTGCAAAAAGGAAGCATTTTTTTTTAATTTAAAAAAAAAACCGTTTGTACATTTCTTGTGTTGTTGTTTTAAGGACAGAACAATGAAGATATAGAACAGAATAAACTTCAGAGTTGGAAAACCGGTACATAAAATAGATCTGACTTCATAAAAATGTACCTACTCCTTCTAAATGCATCTTCCCCTTTTTAATGATTCTTAAACCTGCAGTGATATTCTATCAAATACCAAAAATGCTAGGACTTGTAATTTTCTGAGCTCATCTTGCTATTAAGCATCTCAAAAGCTGTTCCTGGTTCCTTATACCGGGATCGATGTCCTGCAAGGGATTATCAAATAATCAGCAGTTTTTGAAAGAAGTGTCAGAGCCCCGTGATACAAGCTCCACCCCTTCTAAAAGGGAGAGAGCTTGCAGCCTGGTGCCACAAAATGGCTTTCATTCTCTTGACCATAACAGCAAGAGCCTGTGGATGGTATTGAATCTAATGTAGTGATTGAGGTGGATCAAAGCTGGGGAACTCTCAGCTCATTGGTGACTTTGGACCAGTCAGTCAGTGGTGACCAGTCAGTCCCCCAGTGGTCAGTTACTACTGGTTCTGTGGGCGTGGCTTGGTGGGTGTTGCTTGGGCATGGCAGGGGAAGGATACTGCAAAATCCCCATTCCAACTCCACTCCTGGGGGAAGGATATTGCAAAATCTCCATTCCCACCCCACTCTGGTGCCAGCCAGAGGTGGTATTTGCCGGTTCTCCAAACTGCTCAAAATTTCCGCTACCAGTTCTCCAGAACCTGTCAGAACCTGCTGGATTTCACCCCTGCAGTCAGTCACTCACAGCCCATTCTACCTCACAGAGTTGTGTGAGGATAAGACGATCCCCAGATAAGCACTGTGAGCTATAAATCAATTAATCAATCAATAACAAAACCACGATTGTTTATATGTTTGAAAAGTTTCCTTGCTCCCTACTTCTGCTGCAGGCATGCCTTGGACATCCGGGAGCACTACGAACGTAAATTGGAACGGGCCAACAATCTTTATATGGAGCTCAATTCCCTCATGCTACAGTTGGAGCTGAAGGAGAAAGAGCTGCTTCGGTAAGATTAGAATTACCGATTCAGTAACTTTTCCTAAAGGGATGTATTCTTAACTAAAAGCAAGAGGGTAAAGGTTTAGTAATGAGAGCTTTGGCCTACCAGCTTTCTCTCAACCCTCCCCTCCACCCCAGTAAAGGAAATTGGGCATAACCCCTGACATGTTTTCTGGATCTCAGATATCAACACCACACCATCAATTTGGGGCATCATTTTACCCATAAGGCAAGGAACACAGAATAAGGGAAGAGGAAGCTCTGGTGGCGCAGTGGTTAGAATGCAGTATTGCAGGCTAACTCTGCTGACTACCGGCTGCCTGCAATTTGGCAGTTCGAATCTCACCAGGCTCAAGGTTGACTCAGCTTTCCATCCTTTCGAAGTGGGTAAAATGAGGACCCAGATTGTTGGGGGCAATAGGCTGACTCTGTAAACCGCTTAGAGAGGGCTGTAAAGCATTGTGAAGTGGTATATAAGTCTAAGGTCTATTGCTATTGCTACCAGCCAAAATTTCTGCAACTATTTGCATTGAGAAGGAAGTACAGATAGTCCTCGATTTACAACAGTTCATTTAATGGCCGTTCAAAATTACAATGACACTGAAAAAAGTGACTTGTGATCATTTTTCACAGTTATGACCAGTGCAGCATCCCCATGGTCACATGATCAAAATTCAGATGCTTGACAACTGGTTCATATTTATGATGGCTTCAGTGTTCTGGCAATTTATGGTGATCATATTTTGCGACCTTCTGACAAGCAAAGTCAATTTGGGGAAGCCAAATTCAATTGGCAGAGTGACGAGGAATAGTCTTGAGAATGTTATCTGGGAGGAGTTTGACGCTGTGACTCCCGATGATGTGGACAGGATTTTGGGGAGACTTAGTGCGGCCACATGTTTACTGGACCCGTGTCCCTCCTGGTTGGTACTGGCTTCCCGGGAGGTTACATGAGGCTGGCTCCAGGGTGTTATCAACGCTTCGCTGAGTGAGGGCCACTTCCCCGCTGCCTTGAAAGAGGCGGTGGTGAGGCCTCTCCTCAAGAAGCCGTCCCTGGATCCGGCAATATTGGCCAACTACCGTCCTGTCTCCAACCTTCGCTTCATGGCGAAGGTTGTTGAGAGTGTGGTCGCGTGACAGTTCCCACAATTCCTGGAGGAAACATCTTATCTAGATCCGTTTCCAGCACGGAAACGGCATTGGTTGCGTTGGTTGATGATCTCTGGAGGGCTCGGGACAGGGGCTGCTCCTCTGTTCTGGTCCTGTTAGATCTCTCAGCGGCTTTTGATACCATCGACCATGGTATCATGCTGCACAGGCTGGAAGAGTTGGGGGTGGGAGGCACCGTGTTGCGGTGGTTCTCCTCCTTTCTCTCCGACCGGTCGCAGTTTGTGTTGGCAGGGGGGCAGAGGTCGACCTTGAGGCCTCTCATCTGTGGAGTGCCGCAGGGATCGGTCCTCTCGCCCCTTCTATTCAACATTTATGTAAAGCCGCTGGGCGAGATCATCCGTGGCTTTGAGGTGAGATACCACCAGTATGCTGATGACACCCAGCTGTACATCTCCACCCCAGGCCACCCCAACGATGCCCTTGAAGTGATGTCCCAGTGCCTGGAGGCCGTGCGGATCTGGATGGTGAGGAACAGGCTCAAGCTCAACCCTTCCAAGACTGAGTGGCTGTGGCTCCCGGCATCCCGATATAGTCAGTTGACTCCATCACTGACTATTGGGGGCGAGTCTTTGGCCCCCACAGAAAGGGCTCGCAATCTGGGAGTCCTCCTGGATATGCAGCTGTCCTTGGAGGAACATCTGACAGCTGTAACTAGGGGGACCTTTTGTCAGGTTCGCCTGATTCGCCAGTTGCGGCCCTTTCTTGATCGGGATTCCCTGTGCACAGTCACTCATGCCCTCGTCACCTCTCGCCTTGACTACTGCAACGCTCTCTACATGGGGCACCCCTTGAAGAGCACCCGGAGGCTCCAACTGGTCCAGAATGCAGCAGCGCGGATAGTGATGGGAGCAGCATGGCGCTCCCATGTAACACCGCTCCTGCGCGAGCTGCACTGGCTCCCAGTGGTCTTCCGGGTGCGCTTCAAGGTGTTGGTTATCACCTTTAAAGCGCTCCATGGCATCGGGCCTAGCTATCTTCGAGACCGCCTGCTGCTACCGACGACCTCCCATCGTCCCGTGCGATCCCACAGAGAGGGCCTCCTCAGGGTGCCATCAGCCAATCAATGTAGGCTAGTGACTCCCAGGGGGAGGACCTTCTCTGTGGGGGCACCTACCCTCTGGAATCAGTTGCCCCCAGAGATAAGGAGAATCCAAGACCTTAGTGCCTTCCGCCGTGCCCTTAAAACCCACTTTTTCCAGCAAGCCGGGCTGGCTTAAGAAGAAATTTTAAATGTTTTAATTGGTTTGTATTTTTAATTTTGGGCCAAATTTATATATATTTTAATTGTTTTTAATATTTGTATTTCATGTTTTTTAATTCTGGCTGTACAGCGCCCTGAGTCCTCAGGGAGAAGGGCGGTATATAAATTTAAAAATAAAAATAAAATAAATAAATAAAAAAATTAACCACCATGTTACTAATTTAACCACTGCAGTGATTCACTTAACAAATGTGGCAAGAAAAGTCATAAAACTTGGCAAAACTCACTTAACAACTTTCTCACTTAGCAACATAAATTCTGGATTCTATTGTGATCGTAAATCGAGGACTACCTGAATTTGCCCTGGATTAAAAACAAACAAACAAACAAATTGCAGAAAGTTCTACCCAGCCTTTCTCAACTTGTATCCTCCATATCAGGTGGAATTCAAGAGCCAGCAATAATTGTTCTCACTCAGAACAAGAGGAATTAAAATCCAAACACACCTTGAAGTCAGGTTATCCTTCATCCTCTACAAAAAAAGAAATGTATGGGTTTCTTCGAATGGTTGTTGAATCAAGCAACCACTCAATCAGTCATCTAGTTAAAATTGCTTTCTGGTATTTAGACTTAGACTTAGAATAACTTTATTGTCACTTTGAATCAGGGGTGGGTTCTACTTATCTTTACTACCGGTTTGCAACGGGAACACACATGCACAGATCAGGGGTGGGTTCTACTTACCTTTACTACCGGTTCGCATTGTGCCTATGTGCGTGGGCTCGCTTTGCTCGTGCGCATGTACACGCGCTCTTCTGCACATGCGCAGATCACTTATGATGACATCCGGGACAGTGGGTGGAGCCTCCTGCCGATTTTACCACCAGTTCTTGCAAACCAGTCCGAACCGGGGACAACCCACCACTGGCGCAGATCACCCATGATGACGTCGTGCCAGGTGGGCGGAGCCTCCCGCTGGTTTTGCTACCAATTCTATAGAACCGGACCGAACCGGGAACAACCCACCACTGTTTTGAATGTACACTAATCTGCATACATTCAAATGAAAGTTCATTGCATTCAGCTCTCAAACGGTCTCCACCTCCAATATACACTATATTTTATCTGATTATCCTTATCGTATTACGTGCATCCTGTTTTCCTGTCCCAAAAGATCCGAGCAACCCCAGCATCCGAGCAACTAGTATGAATTTTGGTGTGTTTTTTTTCTCTGTGTCCTCCTGAGTTTTCAGTCCTTGCATCCTTCTCCTAGGCGAGAGCAAGCGTTAGAGAAGAAATATCCCGGACTTTTTAAGCATCATCCATCCCGCAGTCTCCTGCATGGCAACACAGTGGAGAAACTGATCAAGAAGAGGAATGTGCCACAAAAGCTCTCTCCTCACAGCAAAAGGTGAATCACTGCAGAGAAAGGCCCTCGCAGGAAGGGTTTAACAATGACCACCATGTGTAGTAGCATAATGTGAACCATAATGTGGAAAGAAAATGTATGTATTGGGCACAGAACCTAAGTTTCTGTTTAGCCCAATGTCAGCTCCCAAATAGAGGGAAAATGACATGAGGGCACACCTGTCCTGTTAGATGCTTTTTCCTGTCCATCCTCTTTGTTGTATTCAGTTTGCTTCCAAATGTTCGGCATCTTGTGGTGGTACCAAGCCTGCTATTTGATGGCATGATTAGTAATTTATTGCAATCTCCTGCAAATTACTTTGATGGCTTTTATTTTATTTCTAATTATTATTTTTTAAAATTTATGTGAGCCCCCCCCCCCAATATTCAATAAATTAGAAAAATTAAAATTAGAGATTATATGTCTACAAGAAGTTCATATTAAGAAACAACATAAGTATCTATTGGAGCAAAAGAAATTGGGAATACTATATACAACACTTGCCAGTCAAAGTAAAAGAGGGGTAGCATTATGTATTAAAAAAACAATTAAATCCGAAAAGATTTTTGAAGATGAGGAAGGAAGGCAGGGGTGAAATGTAAAATTTGTTACTACCAGTTCTGGGGGCTTGGGGGGGGTAATGTGACTGGGTGGGTGTGGCCAACTTTTTTATTTTTTTAAACTTTTCAAAGCATTTTTTCTAATGCTTTGAAAAGCCTCTGCCGATCAGGAAACTCAGCTGGGATCGTCAGAGACTTTTCAAAGCAATTTTTTTACCACCTCTTCGGCCAAGAGGTTGCAGAAAAAATGCTTTGAAAAGGCTCTGACTATCCCAGCTGAGTCGTGCGATCATCAGAGGCTTTTTTTTTTTTTACTTTTAAAAGCATTTTTTCGTTGGAAGAGGTAGTAGAAAAAAAAGTTTTTAAAAAAAAAAAAAAAAAAAAGCCTCTGATGATCCTGCAGCTCAGCTGGGCGTGGTGGGGGGGGCCGCAGGGATTTTTGCTACCAGTTCTCCGAACCACCCGCCATCATTGCTATCGGATTGGGCGATCCGGTCCGAACCTGGAGCATTTCACCCCTGAAGGAAGGATATTAATGGTCGAAATAACTATGAATCAAAAAAAAAAAACCATTGTTAGGAGCAATATATGCTCCAAATAATAATCAAGAAGAATATTATGGGACCTGACTCAGTTTTATGACAGTTCTTAATGATGATTGTAAATCGAGTCACCGCAATCATTAAGCAAATCATGAACCATATGGCTGTTAAATGAATCCATTCTCCTCAATGGGCATTTATTTTGCTGGAAACCAGCAAAAAAGTTGCAAATTGCAGTCATAGGACCACAGGACGACGCAACCGTAAATGTAAACCAGTTGCCAAAATGCAATCTATATGAACGCATGGGATTTGTGCAGCAGTTGTAACTTCAAGGGCGGGTCATAAATAACTTTTCGGAGTCTGTCATAACTTCAAAAGTTAGTTGTTAAGCAGCCAGTTATTAAGTGAGGGCTACCTGAATACGTTTCTATATTTCAGATATTCTAGTCTGCTCATTACTTCCTTTCAAGAAAATTAATAATCTAATTAATAATCTAATGAGCCGAGGTGGCGCAGTGGTTAGAGTGCAGTACTGCAACTACTTCAGCTGACTGCTAGTTCAGCAGGTCAGCAGATCAAATCTCACTGGCTCAAGGTTGACTCAGCCTTCCATCCTTCCGAGGTGGGTAAAATGAGAGCCCAGATTGTTGGGGGCAATATGCTAATGCTAATGCAATATGCTAATATGCAATATGCTATATGCTAACTTTGTAAACTTTGTAAACTGCTTAGAGGGCTGTAAAGCACTATGAAGCGGTATAGAAGTCTAAATAATAATAATAATAATAATAATAATGATGATGATGATGATGATGATGATGATGTAAGACTACAGAGAAGGGGCATGGTGGCTCAGTGGCTAAGATGCTGAGCTTGTCGATCAAAAGGTCGGCAGTTCAGCAGTTCGAATCCTTAGTGCAGCATAACAGGGTGAGCTCCTGTTACTTGTCCCAGCTTCTGCCAACCTAGCAGTTCAAAAGCACGTAAAAAATGCAAGTAGAAAAATAGGGACCACCTTTGGCAGGAAGGTAACAGCGTTCCGTGTGCCTTTGGCATTTAGTCATGCCAGCCACATGACCACAGAGATGTCTTTGGACAGCGCTGGCTCTTTGGCTTTGAAATGGAGCTGAGCACCGCCCCCTAGAGTTGGGAACGACTAGCACATATGTGTGAGGGGAACCTTTATTTTTAAGACCAAAGAGCACCAACAGCAAAACTACAAAAAGTGGGAGTGGGGGAAGCAGCCTTAGGAGCAGCAACATGGGAGCCAATTTCTTAAAGGGTTCAATTGAAATTACGGTACCCTCTCCCTTCTTGGCATCGAGGTTACTCTGCTAACTCTTGTTTCGCTTCTGCAGGCCGGACATTCTAAAGACGGAGGTCATCCTGGACCCCAGCCTGCCTCAGCTCGCCATCCCCGTGTGCCAGAAAGGGCCCCCGTCCCCTGGGCGTAGCCGCCGTACTAAATCACGCTACCGCAAGGTCAGCACACGGGGCAGCTGTGGGGAGTTGGCCGATCCCGGAGGAGCCAAGCGCCTGGAGCCCTGCACGGCCCTCCGAGGGCTCCAGCATGACCTGCTGCTGCGCAAGATGTCGTCTTCCAGTCCTGACCTCATTTCCACAACGTTGGGAGCCGAGGGCCGCAAAGGGGCAGCGGGGCCAGAATCCCCACCGGCGGAGCAGCCCCGCAGCGAGACGCCCAGCGAAGACACTGCCTCGGTGCCTTGCTCCAGCAGCCCCGACTCACCTTCTTCTCGACAGGGGGCAGTGGGGCCGCCAGGAAAGGCAAGGCTTCAGCCTGGCGAGGAGGCAGAACGGGAACAGGGCAAGGGCAGCCGCTCAGGGGCCCCACAGCAGTCTCAGCACCTCACACCAGCGGCTATGTTGTACCGGGCAGCTGTTACCCGCAGCCAGGTAGCACGGCGTTTCTTTCCTTTACACTTTTTCTTCCTCCCTTCCTTTCCCAAATGGAAGAAAAGAGATACACAGGCAACAGCCACTGTAATCTGAAAAGCCTGTAGAAATGGTGGCTGTGGTTGCCTTCTCCATTTTCTTCCTCTGATAATATAGTCCTTGACTTACCACCCCAACTGAGCCCAACATTTCTTTTTTTGAAACGAGACAGTCATTAAGTCAATTTTATCCCATTTATCGAATATTCTTGCCGTGGTTGTTAAGTGAATCACTGCAGTTGTTAAGTGAGTCACATGGTTGTTAAGTGAATCTGGCTTCCTCGTTGACTTTGCTTGTCAGAAGGTCAGAAAAGGGGATCACATGACCTTGTGGGACACTGCAACGGTCATAAATATGAGTCGGATGCCAATTTTGAATACGTGACCGTGGGGATGCTACAACGGTCATAACTGAAAAATGGTCCTAAGTCACTTTTTTTTCAGTGACGTTGTAACTTTGAATGGTCATTTAGTGAACTGTTGTAAGTCAAGGACTACCTGTCCCACAAGCAATAAGGAAACTGTGTGCAACAGAGAACTGTCAAAGTTAATGCCCTTCTCCAACTTTTATGGGCTATCTTGTCCCTTTCCTATCCAATGTACAACATTAGAGCAGGATAGGATTTTTTATTTTTTTTTTAATTTGATTTATATGCCGCCCTTCTCCGGAGACTCAGGGCAGCTTACAATGCGTTAAGCAATAGCCTTCATACTTTTGTATATTTATACAAAGTCAGCTTATTGCCCCCACAAACTGGGTCCTCAATTTACCTACCTTAGAAAGGATGGAAGGCTGAGTCAACCTTGAGCTTGGCGAGATTCGAACCTGCAGTAATTGCAGGCATCTGGTCTTAATAACAGGGTGCTTTAGTCCACTGTACTACCAAGGCTCTTTTGTTGAAAATATTGTTGTATTTTTTGCTGGTTCAGCTTATTGTATTTCTTGATTATGATTTATTAAATTGATATGCCACCCAACTCCCAGCAACTCTGGGCTGCTCTTAATGTTCAGTTCCAATTTCCATTCTAGTTGGCCAACGGTGTAAAACCCAGACATGTCATGTTAAAAAAAATAAAAATAAAATTAACCTTAACAGGACTCAACACTGCAGAGCAGGAAAAACTTTTTTTAAAACATTCTCCTGCCTCCAAAGGACCCCCCCCAAAAGTAGACAGAGCAGTTGCCTTTGGAAGATGTCCCAGACCTCAGAAACTGCTACCAAACAGTCTGCGGGTTTTGTAGAATGCAGTCATATTTTCAGTAGTCTCTTTATGGCTGGTTTTAGATCTTGAGAAGAACTGAGATTAGTGAAGAATCAAGTTCTTAATTTCATCTAATGCCAGACTGACCAGAGGTTGACAAATCCTGACACTGTTTCTTTTTATTTCATTCATCTTGACTTAGAAACGTGGTATCTCCTCAGAGGAAGAAGAGGGCGAAGTGGACAGTGAAGTTGAGCTCCCTCTCCGGCAAAGGTGAGCAGTAGCCTGATTTAGGACTCAGCCCCCAAGGATTTGGAGGGATCAATGAGTGGAGTGGAGTGGAAAATTTTCACCTCTCATTTATGTTCTGAGAGTGGATCAAGAGATTGTTTATTGTCATGTGCTTCTTTGGTGTTTCTACCTCTAATCATGAAGTAAGGATATAGAGCAGGGATGTCAAACTCACGGCCCGTGGGCCAGATGTGTCACGCACTGCCCCACCCCCACCCCGGTTTTACCGAAGGGTGAAAAAGTCATGATACGTGATGATGTGACGATGCTAGTTTGACACCCCTGATATAGAGTATCCTTCCCAACTACTGCTGCCTGTCCAGCATGTTGGAATGACCACCAAGATGGAGAAAGTTTATACTTTCACTCAAACTTTTCCTGGTGAGGAGTGAATGAGAGTATAGAGAAGATGGTACAGGTCTTCCACATCTTCTTTTGCCTCCTTCCTCCACCCCAATCCCTTTGATTGACTATGTGTCATCAAGTCAGTGACAGCTTTTGGTGATCACATACATAGACTTTCTCCAGAATGATCTGTTTCCAGCCTGGCTTTTAGGTTATCCAATTGCCAATGGAAACTAATTTAATCCATCCACTTTGCTGCTTGTCTTCCTGTTATCTTTCTTTCTACTGTTTCCAGAATTACTGGAATTACTGTTTCCACCTCTCAAGAGAGCTATCTCTTTGCATAATATTATGATTTGAGCTTGATTATTTGTGCCTCAATTGGTTTGATTTCTCCCCACCTCCTTATGATCCATTTCTTTGTTTTGGCTACCCATGGGGTTCTCAACAGTTTTCCCCAACACTAAAAGCATTTTCTCTCCTGCTTCTTCAAAGTCCAATTTTTGCTTTCATAGAATGTCACAGGAAAAAAAAAAAGCATTTCACTTCAGTATCTTAATTGTCAGTTCTAAATCTGATGGCTGATAACTGTTATCATTAACTTGGTCTTCTTGATATTATCCAATTCTTTCAGTGTATGTCTTCCATTACTAGAGCTCCCAGATCATTTGCAGTTTCCACTGAAATGTTGTTGTGACCTAGGCTTCCTGAGTCATTAAAACACAGGAGTAATCCCAAAAACCTCTTTTATTGCAACAGCTGTGAATTACATTCATTCACAGCTGAGTCTCAATTAGTTGCAAAAAGTCCTTCAGGAGAAGTCCTTCAGGATAATCACCAACCTTTATCTCCCTTGACACTCTGCCAAAAACCTACTTGGCAAAGCCACATGGAGTCCAGAATCAAACAGATGCCGACTGGGAACAGAATTAACAACGTTGCTTTCCTGCAAAGGGCCCACATGCCTTTGCTCCTCTTTTAAGCCTTATGGGAGGGGCCAGTCATCTCCAGGCCTTACTCCCGAGTCATCCTTTTAGTTTTAACTGTTCTTGCCTTCTGGCAGCTCTGTGCATGCACACACTAGGAACAGGCTCCTCCTGTTGCTCTGCTGTCTGCCTCTGGAGGCTCCAGAGTCTGCACATAACTCCCAGAGATGGCCCCATCTCTGCCTCTGACGCAGAGCCCTTGTCCGGGCCTTCCCCAGACTCCAGGACTAGCCCATGTTCCTCCACAGCCTCCTCACTGTCCGACTCCGCTGCCAGCTCCGCAGGCTGCTGGCGGACCACAACAAATGTCATTGGCGTAGAGCAAGTTCTTCTTCCAATTATAAAATCATGCTTACCTTCTTCCAACCCAGCTTCTCTCAATATATTATTCAGCATACGTTAAATAAAGCAAGAGAATACATTCCCTCTTTTGCTGACCTGGAGCCAATAGTCTGAACTGTGGATTCTTGCCTTAAATTTCATGTGAAGATATTTTGGGTTTCCCATTTTCCAAAGGACATTCCATATTTTGACATGATCTGTAATCATTGAAGCATGCATTTTCTTCTCTTTTCATGGTGACCTTATTGCTCTAATTACATTTTCTCTAACTTCACGGCTCTCCAGAACTATCAGTTTTATAATCTCAGGTTCCTCGGTGGAGAAGGAGGTGCGACATAAATCAAGAAAAACAAGGGAGTTAGGGATGGATGATTTGGATGGAAAAGGGCAGGTTGGATTTGGAGACAATTTGGGACACTTTCCTCTTGTCCTGCTGTTGCATCTCTCAAAACTTGGGTGCCAAGTGCGTTGGTTCCGTCTGGAGCCCAGATTCCTCCCTGGGGGTAGCTTTCTTTTTTTCTTCTGTTTCAGGCTGACTGGACTTTTTCCTCTTCTTTTGCTGTCTTTCCTAGGTGGCCTCAGGCTAGGAGCAAACGGCAATCTCTCTCCACCTTCAGCTCCGAGAACTTCTCAGATGGGGATGGTGAGGAGGGCACTGGCAGTGAGGGCACCACAGCTTCCCACAGTGGTGGCACCCCAGATGTGCCCAGTACCAATACAGATGAACGCCTGGATGCCGAGCGCTCAGATGACGACATTCTGGGGAACTCTGATGGGTTGTCCGAAAAGGAAGCCGTCATTCAGCTTGTGAAACGGCAGCTCAGTGCTGAGCAGAATGCTGGAGAGGTGGGTACTGAGTAAACATTAGCCCTTCTCTCTCAGGACTAGGGGTCACACACATACCCCAAGCACAGACTTAACCACCATGGACCAGCGGTGTCCATTTAAAAGGAAGGGGCTTTGGAAGAGAAATGTTCAAGTTGGTTCAACCACATTTTTATTATTATGCTATACATTCAACCTGTACCAATAGCCACAACTTGTCTGCCTGCACTCACGTGAATTTATTGGCTTTTATTCTGAGGCTTTAAGAATCTGGTTCTTACCCCTCAGAGCTGCAAAGAACATGCACGAATCATTTATGGTTTCCTTTCCAACTGTTTTCTTCCATTGAAGGCCTTGTGTTTACAGACCCCAATGGAGCTTCGCGCGCAAGCGCTCTCCATTTGCACGAATGAAGCACAAGCGCTCTGCTCAAGTGCTGCTCCCCTGCTCACGCGAGTGGAGCTTTATGCACAAGGCAAGGGCCTGCCACTCTCATAAGTGGAGCTTCACACGCGCGCACTTGCCCATTGGTCACACGGCCCGGTTTCAAACAAGCCACAGCCTGCTAGCGGGCCATGGCCTGGGGATTGGGGACCCTGGTGTAGTGTATATGCATAGTCCAGTGGCAAAAACAGATCTACTTGCCTCTTTAATATAGAATGTTTGCTTTTTAAAACATACCTTGCCATTGGAATCCAGGACCAAAGGTGACCTAAGATTTTCTGCCAGGTTTCCTTCCTCCCTCCCTTCCTTCCTTCTTTCCCTGTCTCCCTCCCTCCCTCCTTCCCTTCCCTTCTCATTTGTCTCCTTCCCTCCCTCCCTCCTTCCTTTCTTTGCCTGCCTGCCTGCCTCTTTCCTTCCTTCCTTTCCTTTCCTTTCCTTTCCTTTCCTTTCCTGTCCTGTCCTGTCCTGTCCTGTCCTGTCTTCCTCTCCCCTCTATTGGTTCCACCTTTCCTCATCTGCTTTATCTCTTTCTAGGATCCTGCCGCCTATGAAGACTCGGATTGCGATAGTGCCGAACTGGACAATTCAGGCAGTGGGGAGGTGCAGAGACTTCCAGACATACCGAATTTGTGATCTCCACTGCTTGGGTTTCCTTTCCCAGGTTGTACAGTTCCCTCTTCCCTTCTCGGCCACCCTGCACCACCACCACCTTCTCCCCAGATATTTATATAAATAATTATAAAGCTCTATATAAATCTATATTATCTCATAATCTCTGGAAAGAGAGCCAGCACACCTCATTCCTCTCCTCAGTTCCTGTTCCCACATTTTCTCTGACCAGTTGGGGGTGGGGGAGGTCAAGAGTCTCACCTTATTATCAGGGCTCACTGCATTCAACGCTGGACAGCTGGAATGGAGGCAGCGACCGAACGGACCCTCCTCATGGCCCCACAGTTCACCACTTGCTCTACCCACAGGAAGGCACTGATTCCTTCCATTTTGCTTCCTCCAAAGTCCCGAATGGTTTGGGAATTCAGGAGAAGATCAGCCAGGCCTGATGGGCCACCAATGCCCAAGGGATGAAGAGAAGAGCCAGAGGCGGCATGGGCTAAGAAACGGTGCTTTCATCTGCCAATGGAAATGACAACGGTGCACCAGCAGGGCTGCAGGTCCCAGCTCAGCCTCTTGACTGGATGATGTACATCACCACCACCACGTCCTGAGGGCTTAACCAGACTGTCTCTGAGATGGACTTGATGCATGTTTGGGCCGTAGTCAGCACGGAACTATTGTCCCAATGGACAGCTTGAAAATGAGCCATTTCCATCACCTTTCTGCCCTTGTAGCTGTTCTTGGAAGCAACAACAACAAGACTTGAAGGCCTCAACTCCCTCCCAGGCCCCATGTCTCTTCCCAGTACGTCATCCTCACCTTCTCCGCATCCAATCATTCTGCAGAAAAACACACACACACACACACACACACACACACACACACACACAGGCTTTCCTACCTTTTGAGAAGGCCCACTCCTTAGGTTGGGATGGGGAAAGTGGCCCTCTTCTGCTCTCTGCTGGCACCAACATGCACTGCACTTTTTTTGTGCTTGGTTTATTTATTTATTTATTTATTTAATTAATTTATTATGAGAAATGTTTACATTTGCACTTATTGTGTGTCCCGTCTGAGGGAGGAAGCCAGGGAAGGGGAAGGAAAGGGGGCAGGAAGCGGGATTTGACATTTCCGGCCCATTTACGTTGAGATGCTGCAATGCCTAAAAAGAGAAATGGGGAGTTCCTTGAGTTTACACTTGTGTGGAGAAAACCAAAACCAAACCACCCAGGTCCTCTTGGTTTCTCAGGTGAAAATCTTGGCTTGGAGAATCATTTTATGTTATTGCCCCCTTTGCAATTCATTTGTTGCTTAGAGGTGTACGGTTAAACCCCAGGGATGTGAGAGTCTAGGTCGGACTCAGGCTAAGTGCAAGTGTGGGCATAAACTTATTCAGAAACATTTTTCTCCCAGTGGAAGACTTGCAGGAAAAGCACAGCCACCAAATAAATATATATTTGGTGGCTCTGCAACATATATATATGTTGGAACCAATGCAACTCTTTCCCCATTGCAACCAACCAGCTTTTGCTGGAAAGAGAGGCTCTCGAAAATTATTGTCGAAGGAAGTCTTATGAGGGGCAATTGGCTGTCTGCATGATACATTGGCTGTTTCTGTTGCCTCTATGGCAGGAAAGTGTTGGATTGCATTCAACCCTCAGGTGCCCAGGTGCTGGCCCTTTTCAAAGAGGCCAAGATCTTAGGTGCACAAGATGCTGTTCTTGCAGCATGTTTGATGCCTGTTTATCCATATAGCCACAGGTGCTCCTTTCGCATGAAAGAGGACGCTCAGTAACCCTAGGGGAGAATATACTGCAATCGGACACAAGCTTGGCGTAGAGGTTTAATTGCCTACGTTTTGAATGTTCCTCAGCATCCCATATTTCTGGTAACAAGCCCTCCCCAGACAAAAGTTGCATTGCTTCCTGGGAAAATTGCATACTAATAATCTGCCAGTCAAGGTTGATGGGGCTAGGTCAAGCAATTTATATCGTAAAGCAGTTTCCTGCCAAGTCAGACACTGTTACTGAATATCTTCTGAAATATTGAAAAATGTGTCGGGAAATCTCCCCTGGTTATCAACGCAGGCTCTCAAACCCTATTCATGCAGTACCACTACTTTAGGAAAAAAAGTCTCCTTTGTGTCAAGCTTGACTCATGGCAACTTCTTAGTTACATCTGGGCAGGGTTGTGTTATTGTTCTTTTTTGGCAACAAAAGGGAAATAATTTGCCATTGTCTTCTGGGGGTCTATAAATGTTTTACTTTCCAGACTAGTCTATACTCTGGTGGATTCCTGGTGAATTCCCTGGTGGACTCCTGTTCAAATACTAATCAGATTTCATGCTATTTTTGGAGATCATCTTTTGGCCTCTGCAATATTTTTTTTCTCTTGTTTGGTCCTACACTTAATCTTGAAATAATCCACACCTTCGCTAGGCTAAGAAGGATCATACCAAAATACTCCTTTTTCATAACCTTAAAGGCATGATAGAAGTTCTAGGGTGCCGTAATTGTCACTAAATTTTATGCAATTACTGTTTTAACACTAAAAAAAAAGAAACCACGGTGTAAAGTTTTGATGCAGAATTTATTCTCAGGGCTACCATATCTGTGCTGCAAAAATCTGGATGACCATTTTTTACATGGCAGCAGAGAAATGCAGCCTAAATATGGAGACCTAAAAGAAATTTTACTGCTGTTCAGGGAAAATTGTCAACTGTTTAACCCTGAATTGTGGTGAAATGCACAGCACAAGCGAAGTGCTTGAACGTTTATCAAACTTTGATTATATTTTCTCAGCTGGAAAGTGGAGGGTCAGCTTTCTGATCCTAAATAAGGCTCCCTTGTCCGATTTTCTCAATAAGACAAGAAAGGCAATCAAAATTCTTAAAACGCTTTAATTTCTTTAGCTTAAGAAAAATAGGGTAACATGGCAGAAGACGCACCCAAAAAGAATTTGATAGCCCCCTTTAAAAAGCCAGTCCTTGCAATAATGGGAGCAGCAGGGTTCATAGGCTGTTACAAGTCCTGCATCTGTGAAGCAGGGGTGTGTGAATAGGGGGTGAAAGCAGACAGTCTAACTGGCAGAGAAGTTACTTGGTCTGTTCCTTAGGACTTCACAGGCTGGAATAAGGGATGATATCTGGGCTGCAAAACTCCACATTAGCATCACATGGCAACAATACCCTTCAAGCAAAGGACTAATGAAAATGTTCTCTGTTCAGTCATCCAGGCCTGGGCCCTTATTGTGAATCCTGTGCACTGGGTTTTTTCCAAAAAAAGCCCACTAGCTAAAAGAACAATCTAAATTTTAACTCTTGCTTTTTCTATACTTGATGAACACAAGCACGACCAGCAACTCTGTTGCCAAGTGAAATGGTCATTAAGCAAAATATCATGTGACTTCGCAGACCCTACAATGCCACTTCCACCCTAGTCATTAAGCAAATCACCTGCACTCATTAAGCAAGGTGTTTGCATGATCGCAACTTGCGATTTTACTGCAGGCCAGCCGTGAAGCACACAAATGATAATCACGTGACTATGGGATGCTGCAATGGTCATCGGTGTGAGAACCGGTCACAATATTACTTTTTCAGCACCATCATCACTTCAGTCTTTAAACAGGACACAGTAAGCGAGGACTACCTGTAAGAGCCATGGTGGGACAGTGGTTAGAATGCAGCATTGCAGGCTAATTCTGCTGATCGAAGTTCGGCAGTTCAAATCTCACCAGGCTCAAGTTTGACTCAGCCTTCCATCCTTCCGAGGTGGGTAAAATGAGGACCCAAATTATTGGGGCAATAGGCTGACTCTATAAAGCGCTTAGAGAGGGGCTATAAAGCACTATGAAGCAGTATATAAGTCTAAGTGCTATTGCTATAGGAAGTATCAAGCCAAGCGTGACTCCTGCAGAGTACTCTGGAGCAGGGGTCCTCAACCCCTGGGCCAAAGACCGGTACTGGTCTGTGGCCTGTTAGGAACTGGGCCACACACCTGGAGGTGAGTGGTGGGAGAGCAGGCAAAGCTTTATCTGTACAGGTAGTCCTCGAATTATAGCAGTTCATTTAGTGACCATTCAAAGTTACACCAGAAAAAAAGTGACTTATGATCATTTTTCACTTACGACTGTTTCAGCATCCCCATAGTCACATAAAAATTCAGATGCTTGGCGACCAACTCATATTTATGAAAATTGCAGTGTTGAGGTCATGTGATCCCTTTTTGCAACCATCTGACAAGCAATGAGGAAGCCAGATTCACTTAGCGACAGTGTTAGTAATTTAACAACTGCAGTGATTCACTTAACAACTGTGGCAAGAAAGAGCGTAAAATGGGGCAAAGTTTTACAAATGTTTCACTTAGCTCAAGTGTGGTCGTAAGTCAAGGACTACCTGTATTTACAGCTGTTCTCCAGTTCCACCTCAGATCATCAGGCATTAGAATCTTATAGGAGCGCAAACCCTACTATAAATTGCACATGTGAGGAGGGATCTACGTTGTGTGTTCTTCCTCCTCCCCCTCACCGCCCCCATCGCGGAAAAATTGTCTTCCACAAAACCAGTCCCTGGTGCCAAATAGGTTGGGGACTGCTGTTTTAGAGAAGCATTTGTCAGTGCTTTCTTCCATGATGTTTTCCAGTTTCCCATTTTGAGAGTCTAAAGTTTTCCTGGAAAGCATCCATCCAAACACTAACCAGAACTGCTTAGCTTCGGAACCCAAACAAGATCAGGCAAATGGTGCCATCTGCTGAAAAGCAAGAAATATAGCAGAGCCAATAAATGAATCTCTTTTGACCACTGGCAGCTCCCAGTGAATTCACATTCAGCAGTACAGAAACGTTCCAGCCATGGACAGAGGCAGACACTCCCTGGGCAATACTAAAATCAAATTCTAGCTTCCTAGCTCTACAGGAGATCCATCAGCTAAAATGGTAATAACCTTAGAAGCAGGAGAACCAAGATTAAGACTGATGGAGAATGATGGAAGGGAAGATGTGAAATTGCATGTCTAGCTGCTTCTCTAGCCTTTCAAATAAAAATTCCTGACTGAAGAAATTTATCATACTCGATGAAAGTGAGAAACCACCATTCTTCCTTGTGCCTCCCTCTCTCCTGACTAGCCCAAACAGGAGGTTTAACTTTGGAGAATGTTTTAAGAATTTGCACATAATTTAGAGCTCCATGTTTACATTTCCTTTGTGCAGAAGGGGCCAGCATGGGTCATTTTGTGTTCCCTAAGCATCTACCCAAAAGATCTTGTGGCAAAACTCCAGAGAGAAAACAGACTGTCTTCCAAGCATTGTTTTCTGAAGTCTCCTTGGCAAGACTTCAGGTATAAATTTCTAAGCAAAATTAAAAGGGCCCACTGTTGACTTAATTTAATGTTTCTTGTCGATACTTCTTAAAAATACTTTAAAAAGTAACAGTATGGCAGGAGTTAGGGAAACTCTTTTTTTTAACTTTCCCATTACTTCAGCATGATAGGCATTTTTCTATTTGTTTCAGACACAATGTTTTTGTGCCTGTGCTACAAAACAATTGAGAAAGAAGCCCCGTACACCTTTAATCATATACATTTGGCTTTCCCTAATCACAAATATGGCAAATTAAATTAGAGACAACAGCTGGACATGCATCAAGACTCCATTTCACACTGAATACACAACTTGGGGGGGGAGGGAAGGGTAAATATGGCTAGCTTACTTGCAGGAGTTAACAACTGGTGCGGCCCTTCCTTCTCACACTCAGAAAACACAACTAGGTTCATCAAACAACTTTACAGATCAATTCATCCTTAGATTTTTCAGTCACAAAGTGACATTTCTGTTCGAATGATGGAAAGAGATGTCCTTTTCCATCGTCTCTTCCTTAGGTGTTTTATGAACTCGTTAGATTGAGGCCAAAAGTGGTATCAAGTTAGCCTGAAAAAATAGGCCAGGGCAATTGGGCTCTTCTTGCAGCTGAATTTTACATCAGGTAGCCCTTTGATTTGATCCATACAAGGTCATTTGGTAAGATAACAGTAGTGAGAAAGCTGAAATGTGGGTATAAATCTCAAGCAAAATTAAAACCAGAATCCAGCATCAGCATCAAATCCTTGTAAATATATATCAAGTCCTGCAGAATTTATCTCCTATCGCTGTTTGGCTGATTTCAGTGCTGATAAATCAGCATTTTTATATTTCACGTCCAGCCAGTAGAAGCCACAATTATTTAAAAGTTTATTGCGGTTACTGACTCTCTTATGTGAGGGTCAAGCCACCTTGGGAATGGGTAATAAAACCTATCTTGCTGAAACTGGTAGCCCCTGGATGGCGCCCAGTATTCCCAGTTTGCCTCTGTAAAACGGAGCTGTAATTCAAGTGTGGACACAACATGCTCCAAATTTATGAGGTCAAATACTGGTGCTTGGGATAGCCCTGCTAAGAAAAATATGTGCCTCATAGTTCGGAAAAATATTGTCAAGAGAAACCAATACTGGACTTGATTTCCCAACTGTAAAAAATAATATACAAAAAAAAAAAAAATAGGTCTCCCAAGTTACAGACAAATCAACTCTCTTCTACTGAAAGCATAGGAAATGAAAATAACACTTCATAGAAACAATCTCCTTCACTGAAAGCCAAACTCCTGGCAGATAGTATACGTTCTTTTACAGCAGATTAAAATGATTCCGTCCTTTTGTTAGCGCACTGGAATCTAGGTTGCAAAATCCAGGGTCTCCGTTCAGACTCCTTATGGCTGTATTCATTCCCTTGCCAGCATAAAGCCTCTGTAGAAACGCTGCCCTTATGCAGCAAGCATGATGTTAAAAGACCCGCCTTGACCTCTCCCAGCTCAGTTTGTCATTCTTCCTGTGGAAGGCAAGTTTTCAATCCCTTAGATAAAGCCATACTTCCCACCATTTTGGATCTGTGCGTTCCCTATTCTTGTTTTAACATCTACCCTTGTAAGATAGATCATAACTGTATGGAACTAACATTGCTTAGATGAATAATGGCACTGCGGATTTCAATTAAAGACCATTTTGTATTCAGTGTTGGCATGTAGCCCTTCGTTTTGCTCGTATTTCCAAATGCAAAAGCGTGTGTGTAAGAGTGACCACCTGAAAGAGGGTCCTCTTTTTACATCCATTTCCTTAATATGACGAGAGCTCCCCATTCTAAGATTCCAGCTATCATTTATTAAATTTCTCTTAAGGACGTTTCTATTTCTTATGGATATACAAAAGTTATGTTTGAAAGGGAATGTGCAATGCCTACCAAAAATTCAGAAGCCAAAAAAGTTTAATATAATTGTCAATGACTGTTAGGGTTTCTTTATCTCCTCCAGCAAGCAAAATTATACTAATTAATACAAAATGTCTCCCCTGCTACAACCTAAACACAAATATGAGTATAGTCCTTCAATATTTTTACAAGAAAATTACATCCAGACATACTCTGGAGTTGGCTGGCTGAGGAAACAACTAGGGATAAAAGGGATTTCTGGATGCTGTTTGAGCTCCCTATATTTTGCTAAAGTTACTTGGTTTCTGAGATATACAGGTAGTTCTCGACTTACAACCACAATGGAGTCCAGAGTTTATGTTGCTAAATGAGAAATTTGTTAAGTGAGTTGTGTCCCATTTGTCTTGGCAGATTTGTTAAGTGAATCTCTGCCGTTAAATTAGTAACACGGTTGTTAAGTGAATCTGGCTACCCCATTGACTTTGCTTGTCAGGAGGTTGCAAAAGGGGATCACGCGACCCTGGGACACTGCGACCGTCATAAATATGAGCCAGTTGCCACCTGAATTTTGATCATGTGACCATGGAGATATTGCAACAGTTGTTAAGTGTGAAAAATGGCTGTAAGACTTTTTTCAGTGCCATTGTAACTTTGAACAGTCATTAAATGAACTGTTGCAGGTCGAGGACTACCTGTACTAAGTTAAAGTGAATATAGTTTAAATTTAAAACAAGCACCTCCTTATTACACATACTATAGTACTCTTGGCTCTATTGATATACAGTATGTTGCTTTGATAGTAGAATTGCTTAGCCTTTCCCAGCAAATGCCTGAGTGCAGAAAATTTTGAGTTCTAGCATCAAACTATTAAAGAGTTCTACACAAATGTACACAATTTTTGCTACAACACAAGGAGGCAATTGCCATACCAACGCTGTTAGATTTGTAAGGTTTTGATTTCGAGGTTGTCTCTACAACCACAAGGAATCAGGTTCTTACAGTTATTTTGCAATGGCAGCTGCAGTTGTTCTATTTTGAAGACATTGGGAAGCCTAGCTTACTGCATTTAGCTATTTCTCAAACTATGTATGATTAAGAGCAGGGAGACAGAAAATCGAACAGCCTAAATGTAGTCCTCTGGAAGAGTTGCTGTATACAGCCTTCATTTACCCACCTGTTTAGGGTAAAGTAAGCACCTAAAACTAGCTAGCTTCCCTCTCCTTTTAGCTATTTCAAAAGCAGAGCAGATTTTAAGCATATTTGAGCCATGGTGGCACAGTGGTTAGAATGCAGTACTGCAGGCTATTTCTGCTGACTGCCAACTGCCTGCAATTTGGCAGTTCAATTCTCACAGGTTCAAAGTTGACTCAGCCTTCCCATCCTTCTGAGATGGGTAAAATGAGGACCCAAATTGTTGGGGGCAATATGCTGACTCTAAACCGCTTAGAGAGTGCTGTAAAGCACTGTGAAGTGGTATATAAGTCTTAAGTGCTATAGCTATTTCAAGGCCTCCAGATGGGATGGTTCTTCTGCTGATGGTTATTTTTATTAAATCTGTTTAATGTCACAAAGTGACATATTAGCGACAGTTCCACTGAGTGTCTATCACCATTTTCTAGGTATGATCTGAATGTTTCTCAGTGCAAAACCCATATCCTGCTAATGCAAATGTAATTCAGGAAAGTAAGATACAACGTAATGTTTACAAAAATGCTAAAAGCTTTTGAGTTTAGCTTCAGTAACTACACCTAAATCTTTCAAACTGCTACAAGCTTTCCTTACTCCATTAACCAAACACCAACAAAAATAGCCAAGAACTCCAGTTTCGTTGTACAGACTACTGTTTGAAATTCTCCACAATGTAATGCCAATATAGAATAGTTTGAGAAAATCAAAATGACAGCTACATGATATCATGTCACCAGAAAGTCTTCTACAGAACTGCAAGAGGAGGCTCTTGCCAATTGTTTCATTGGTAGAGACAACTGGCAAGAGCCTCCTCTTGCACATAAACCCAATATTGACTTAAATGTTAATATCTGGTTAAAATTTTGAGAGGATTTATATGTTTTGTGCAAATTTTTCCCAATTAACTTATTTTCTTGTACTTTTGAGATATACTGTGTTTTGTTCAATCCTGCCAGTTTGAGAGTTTCTCAGAAACACTGAAGAATGTAGGTAGGATCCATGCAAACTTTTCAAAAATATGCACTTCATTAACCTGGCTTATGCCAAAACGATCAGATAAGCATAATACATAGATTTTGCAAAATAGATAAGCCATTTTCAGAAATGTCCAGAATTTCTTGCCACTGACTTGTCTGATAAGAATTTAAATCCAAAACAGCTGAAGGGATGCAGCTTGCCTCCATCTGTTCTATAGTATTTACACTCCAAAATATGTGGTCACTTCTATAAAACAAAGGTAATGAGGACTGTATCCTATACTCAATTTGTTTTCTCAGCTTCTATCTTATATAAAAGAAACCTTGACTTCAATAATAAACTAAAAGGCACTCACACACTACCCCCAGTATTTTGGGATCACACATAGATAAAGATTATGTCATTATGACATAACGTTCAGGGAACTGTATACAGGCTCTTTTATTTAAAAAAAATGCAATATAGGAGAAACTTAATAACCGTTACAGATAGTCCTTGACTTACAACCATCAGTGACTGTTCAGTTACAACAGCACTGAAAAAAGTAACTTATGACCGATTTTCACTTATGTCCATGGCAGTATCCCTATGATCACATGATCAGAATTCATCTGCTTGACAACTGGCATGTATTTTTGACAACTGCACTGTCCCGGGGTCATGTGATCACCCTTTGTAATCTTCCCAGCTGGCTTCTGAGAAGCAAATTCAATGGGGGAAAGCAGATTCATTCAACAACCAAATGATTCACTTAACAACTATGTTGATTCACTTAACAACTGTGGCGAAAAAGGTTGTAAAATGTGGCACAACTCCCTTAAACAACTGTCTTGCTTAGCAATGGAAATTTTGGGCTCCATTGCGGTTGTAAATCAAGAACTATCTGCAATCCTCTCAAATGAGAGAAGGATTAACCATTATTTAGGCTTCACCATAACCCAAATTTACAGCATAGCCATCTGTATTTGAAGGCCGACTGCTCCCTCTCAATTTATCTTCCAATGCGGGAAAATTTATTCTTCTTTCTGGTTATAGCACTCTCCTCCCTCACCCATGATAGTCACAACTTTGCATACCATACTAAGCAGCTTTTCTGATCTGCTATTCAGAAGTCCGAAGAAATAATAAAGACCAGGGATAAAGACTCAAGACTACCACACATTTCTATTCACAAGGAAAAAAACTCCAGTCCATCTTTTTATTTTTTTGAAAAATTTCTGACATTACAGAACTAAACTGAAATGTATTAATTCCACTCTTACATTTCATGACATAACAGAAAAACTTCATGAGCCAAGAAAGGGGAAGAAGCTTAAACTAAAATATGAATCAGCATTTTAACAGCTGAACAGAGAAAAGGAATTAAAATGCTGCAATTAAAAAAAATCATGAATGGATGGGTAAAGCATGTAGAACTGAAAATTTACAAACTAGTTAAAACCTGGAATTGCTGACTGCTCAAAAACTACACAGATGGATCATGGGGATGAACGGCAGAAACGGGTAATGAGTGAGGTGGTGGCATTGTCCTAGCTGCTTCCCATTCCACCAGTCTCCGAAGAAAGCCTAAGATGAAAACAAAAGTTAAAGTCTTTTAACAAACATAGACAAACAGCCAGATTTAGACACAAGTCCGAATTCCGCATTATAACATGACTTTTTTCAACCATAAAAAGTATATTGTTCATAGAAAAGTTGTATTTGGCATATGGTACTTCTAAAACTAATTTTTCAGGGGCAAATACCCCATATACTAATTAATACAGAAGCAGCTATAAACACAAATAACAATCTTGAACACCTTGTAGTCACTTAAATATCCAAAAGGAAAGTCAGCCAAGCTTTACTGCAGCTTTTGTATTCATCCCCATATCAAGCATGGCTTCCAGTAGTCTTAAATATTCAGCACTTTCTGCATGTGTGCATACTAGCCAAAACAGTGACCAGAATTCAGGTTCGCCAGAATTGTCTAGAAGCAGACCTAGTACTTTGCTTTTATTAGCTTATGCAAACATATAGCCATTAAACTGTGACTAGGTTGCCCATTTTTTAGTTCATTTTTATCCTGCCTTTATTTTTATAAATAAATCAAGGCAGCAAACATACCCAATACTCCCTACTCTCCCACAATTCTGCAAGGGGACTTCAACTGAGGGAGAGTGACTGGCCCAGTGTCACCCAGCCAATTTTCATGCCTAAACTGGGATTAGAACTCATGGTCTCCTGGTTAGTGCCTGTAATGCTTGGTTAGGTATGTTCGTGTATTTAGGCAAGATCAGATTTAACAAGTCAAATCATTAAAAGCTATCAGAAATGGTTTTGATTTAAAAGATAAATTAATTCTTCGCCAACCTCAATTTTCAAATTGTTAAATATAATTCATATAACTTTTACAGCTGTCTGATGCTTACAGCAAAAGTGGTTTTATTCTGTCTGTAAAAATATTTAAAAATGTAAAATTATTCTAAATTGATCTTTGCTTGTAAAAATCAGAAACCCCTAAATGGAGGGATGGAGATGGAGATATATATATATACCTATATCTATCTCTCTATACCGTTTCCCCAAAAATAAGACATCCCCTGATAATAAACCTAATTGGGCTTTTGAGCGCCTGGCAATAAGGCCAAGCGCTTATTTC